CCCAGAGGCCTAAATCTTTGTTATCTGTCCCCCTGCCTTTGCCCTGGGCAGAACCGATTTTCCCTTTTGCCCTGGCTCTGATTAGCTTCCTTATTTCTGGCCTCTAAGGACTTAACTTTCTGTTTCTGTCACTCTTGGCCCTGGGTTAGCACCTGATTCAGATATTATTCCTCCAATCTTCTGTGTTTCAGATAGAGTTGGGGCGGGGGCTGCCACAGCACAGCACCAGGTCGGGGCTCCCCCACCCCCACCCCTGCCCTCTGGTGCTCCCAGAGCTCGGGTCTGTGAGCTCTGCTCAGGGCCCAGTCACCTCCTCTGAGAAGTCGCCTGCACCTCTGCCCCTTGCTAGGTTCCTATCATGACAGCTGTTGTGTCCTGTCCCGTCCTCCTCTCCCCCACAGTCTTCCTAGCAGTCTGAGGGAGGGTCTGAGTAGAGTCCTCTTTGTCTGTCCCCAGGGAAGGACCCAGAATAGTCAGTATTCTGCCAGAGAAGAGCGAGCGGAGAGAGGGGCTATGGACCACACGTGTCTCTCAAATCCATGTCTGGAAGTTGTGATCCCCAGGTGACTGTATTTGGAAACAAGACCTCTGGGAGGTGATTAAGGCTAAGTGAGTTGGGGCTGCTGTTGTGGCTTAGTGGGTTAAGCTGCCTGCAGCACTGGCACCACATGTGGGCACTGGTTCGAGTCCTGGCTGCTCCACATCTGATCCAGCTCTCTGCTACGGCCAGGGAAAGCAGCAGAAGATGGCTCTAGTCCTTGGGTCCTGCACCCATGTGAGAGACCACGAAGAAGCTCCCAGCTCCTGGTTTCGGCCTGGCCCAGCCCTGGGGAGCGAACCAGTGGATGGAAGATCTCTCTCTCTCTCTCTCTGTCTCTCCCTCTCTTTCTTTGAAATTCTACCTTTCAAATAAACAAGATAAATCTTAAAGAAAAAAAAAGGTTAAATGAGATGAGGGTGGGCTGTGACGGGATAGGACTGGTATCTTTACAACTAGCTGAAAACACACCAGGAAGTGCGTTCTTCCCCGGAGTCACATCTCCTGGCCCCTGGCCCCTCCAGCCCCCAGGACCATGGGCACTCCATTCATTTCTGTTGCCTAACACCCAGTCTGGCATTTGCAGGGCAGCTGGTGCAGGCTAACACGGTGTCACCTGCATGTGTGATTAACCCTTTTCCCTCCAGCACAGTGCAACGTCCTACCCTGTTGTCCCCACCTGCTCTTCCTGTGCCCCTGTCTGAAGTCCCTTCCCCATTCTGTCCTGTGTTTGAAAGCAGACGACAGACCTCCAGTTAATACCACCTCAGGCCACATTGGGAAGGCGGCTTCTGCATTCCTTTCTGCTTTTTGGAGAAGAGTAATTACTGAAAAATGTTATGGTAGCCAGGCACACAGTCATCCATTTTCAGGCAGGAAGCTCCGAGCTTTCAGTTAGGGATTTTGTGTTTGTTTTGACTGTACCAGTCACCACGGCCAACATGTTTCCTTGTTCCCTCACCTGCAGTCGACCTTGAGTTTGGTCTGCCAAGGTCGAATTCTTGGTCGCTGGTCTCTGGCACGTGTTTCCCAGGCCACACAGCTTGCAGCCTCACGGAGCAGGCACTGTTTGTGCCAGGTGTTTATCACACCTGCAGAGCACAGGGCCTGGGCATTCAGAGCTGAGGGAACGCTGGGGTGTAGCTGTGTGGGCAGCACTTACCCTGGGGCTCCACCTGTGAAAGATCAAACACGATCTTTTCATCGTGGGATCCAGCTGGTTTCAGTTCAACTCAGGCTCTCTCTTCAGAGTCAGCTGGAGCCATGGAGGTTGAACTGGCTCCATCATGCCAGAATAAAGGAAAATACGGAGCAGAGCCCGGCCACCTCCAGTGCCACATAGTGCGTCTTGTCCTCAGAACCAGCACAGGCCATGCAGGATGGACTTGGGGCAGCCCCTGGTCACACAGACTGGGTCCAGCTCTGAGCCTGCATGCAGAGGCATGGTGCTCAGCTGTCCTGAGAGGCCGGAATGGTAACCTCTCACAGCACCAGGGGGTTGTTGGGGTCAATACGTCTGCACGGATGGCTGCGGGGCGTTGAATAAATGCTTGTCCTTACAGTGCCAACTCCCATGCCCTTTTGCTCTGTGAGGCCATTGTCAGCATCCCCTTTGTCTAGATGGCACACCTAGGCTGGCAGGGAGCGATGAGCAGTTAATGAGGAGGTGCAGTACTGCGTTCAGTCATCTGCATAGCATGGTGGGGGCCAACCTCACTTCCACAGCCAGGAAACCCAACCACGTGGAGCGTGATCACAGACCCCCGGTAACACTGCCACACAGTGTGACGGGCCTCACAGAAAGCAAGCCACTGGGATTCTGGTTCCCTCAGATGCTGGAATCGCTGACAATTTGGTGTCTCTTAGTTCACGACACGTCAAGGTACTGATCCACGTATGTCTCCATGTGTAGACACTCTAAAATGGAAACATGCCCTAAAGCTACTCGCTTCTTTCCCAGTTAGCAATTGCATTCCATTCAATATTGTTAGATCAACTTCAGTTTGATAATACATTCACAATATCAGTATTCCACCTACATGGAAGGTGTAGGTAGATTCCATCTACAGCAGAATATCTGTTTAAGATATTCAGGATATTAAAGATAACTGTTTAAAAATTGTGATAAGGTGCCCATAACATATAATTTGCCATTGTAATCATTTTGAGAGGTGCCAAGTACTTTGACACAGTTGTGCAACCATTACCACCACCCATCCACAGAACTTGTTTTCTTCTTGCAAAACTACATGAAAGATGTAGACAGATTCCATCATAGTAGAATACTTTAAGAAACACTTATTTTTAAATATTGTGATAAGATGCAAGAAACCTAATTGCTGCTAAGTGCATTTGCATTATTATTGTACAACCCTCACCACCACCCATCCACAGAACCTTTTCTCATCTTGCAGAACTGGAACCCTGGACTCATTAAACAGTAACTGCCCTTCACTCTTCTGCCCTTCTGTTTCCTGTCTATGAATTTGACTACCCAAGTCCCAGGTACTCATAGAATCCTATAGTGTTTGTCTTTTTCTGACTGGTTTTATTTCACTTAGCAGAATTGTCAAGGCTCATTTGTGTTGCAGCATGTCAGTCTTCTTCCTTAGCAAAGCTGAATAATATTCCAGTGCAGGTGTAGACCACACCTTGTTTATTCATTGATTTGTTGATAGAGACTCGGTGTTTATGTGGTTTGGCTATCGTGAACAATGTTGGTGTAAACATGGATGTACACATATCTGTTCATATTACCAATGTCAGTCCTTTTGGGTTTATAACCATGAGTGGAATTGTTACATCATTTGGTATTCTATATTTAATTTTTGGAGGAGCTACCATGCTATTTTACATCATGGCATCATTTTACATTCCTACTAGCTGTATACGAATATTTGAGTTCCTCCACATCCTCACCAGCACTTGTTTTGGTTTTGTTTAGCTTTAATTAGTTTATTAATTAATTTGAGCGTCAGAGCAACATAGAGGGAGAGATACAGAAAGCTTCCATCTGCTGATTCACTGCTGCAGATGACCATAACAGCCAGATCTGGGCCAGGTGGAAGCTGGGAGCCAGGAACTCCCTCTTGGCCTGCCACATGGGATGCAAGGGCTCAAGTACCTGAGCTATCTTTCATTGCCTTCCCAGGAGCATTAAGGGGAAGCTGAATAAGAAGTGGAGAAGCCAACATGAGTGTATTTCAAGAAGACTGTGGGGGCTGGCGCTGTGGTGTAGTGAGTAAAGCCGTCACCTGCAGTGCCGGCATTCAATATGGGCGCCGGTTCAAGTCATGGCTGCTCCACTTCCTATGCAGCTCCCTGCTGTGCCCGAAGATGGCCCAAGCCCTTGGGCCCTTGCACCCATGTGAGAGACCTGAAAGAAGCCCCTGTCTCCTGGCTTCAGATCGGTGCAGCTCCAGCTGTTGCGGCCAATTGGGGAGTGAACCAGTGGAAGGAAGACCTTTCTCTCTCTCTCTCTCTCTCTCTCTCTCTCTATGCCTCTCCTCCTCTCTTTGTAACTCTGACTTTCAAATAAATAAACAAATCTTTAAAAAAAAAAAAGAAGACTGTGCATCTTCTCACCTTCTATGTGTACTTTTTTACACCTAAGTGCATGAGCATATATAAAGTTCTTGAAGTTCTTGGTGACTCATGGAAAATAAGGAAGTCTATATGGAGGAAAATAAAAGTAGAGAAGCCAGGACTCAAATGGGCACTCCCATATGTGTGGCCAGCATATGGACTTAACCTGCTGCACCAAACACCAGCCCCCATTTTGTTTTGCTTTTTATAATAGCTACCCTAATGGTGTGAAGCTATATATCACTGTGGTTTGATTTGTATTTCCATAACAGTGATGTTAAACATCTTTTCAAGTGCTATTACATAATGCTTTGATTCCATTGATTCGAAGCACAGCCCCCTATCAAAATCTTAATGGGTTAATTATATGATCAGTGAGTATTTTGAAAATAGATCACTGTAAAGGTTAAGAGTGGGAATCCGAGAAGGAGGGGGAGGAGGGGTCAGAGGGTGCCACTATGTTCCTAAATCTGTGTATATTAAATATATGAAACTTGTATAACTTAAATAAAATAAAAATATAAAAAAGAAAAAGAAATCCCAATATTTTTTAACAGAACTAGAAAATCTATCCTAAATTTATATCTGATCTCAAGTGACCCTGAATAGCCAAAGTAAACTTGAAAAAGAACAAACTCAGAGGACTCATCCCTCCTGATTCTGAAGTCACGGAGGGATGATAATCAGCACAGTGCGGTACCGACATAAAGACGGATGTATAGAGCACCAGAACCAAATAGAGGGCCCAGCAGTGCATTCACACATATATGCCTACAATTCAACAACAGAAAAAAACAAACAACGTGATTTAAAATGGGCAAAATATATATTTATTCAAGGGAAAATATCAATTATAAGTATATATATATATATTTTTAAATGTCCCCAATAGGCTGATTGCTAGCCAGGTAGCAAAGGGTGGGAAATTTCTTTTATGGTCATGTCCACAGCAAGTGAGAAATTGCGTTCTAAAGGCCTTGGTAATGACCATAGGCAGAACATTTGTAAAACATATCCTTACTAATGAGCAGTAGACTGCTTTCATTTTTTCAGCCATGGTAACAGTGGCAATACAATAATCACAGCTCTATAACTGTATTTTTGTTGCATTTACTCACCTAACAAGTATGTTAGGAATCTGACAAACGTGCTACAGGACATTCGGCTGTAAAGCTATTTGGATATGGCGGTGATAACATCACGAAGGAAAAGCACAGAGCACGCTGACAATGAGTAGCTTAGCTTGGACAGTCACGGAGGCTTTTCCCAAGGAGATATTTACTACACAGCACAAATTCTTAGGCTGTGTTGCTAACTGAAAGGTTAAAGGGACTTCACATTTAAAGTTTTACAAAATACTCCAGTTTGTCCTTCCAAAAGGTTGTGCTAATTTACAATCACAGGTACCATTTTTCTCTGTGTTATCAATGCTGAACTATGCTTTTCATTTATGTAAAAATGACACACTTTCTGGGGGCACCTACGATATGGTGGGCACTGTTGCAGAGGTGGTTTTACCTGGGGGAATTAGAAGGGTAGTTTCTGGCCTCCAGGACCTTACTTTGGGACGGAAGAGATAGACTGCCAATAAACACATTATTTCAAAATGTTCAGTTATCTTTTAACTGGATTTCTGGTTGAGGACCTGGGATGGAATTAGGGCCTCTGGGTGAAGCACCTGGTCTAAAGCATTGGCTTACAGCCAGCGTGATTCTGCCACTCAGGAATTCTGATGGTTTCTGGAGACAGTTCTTGCTGCTCGAGCTTGGAAGGAGAGGCTCTTGGTGTCTCATGGGTGGAGGTTCAGGGTGCTGCTAAACACCACTCAGGCCCGATTCCCACAGATAAGAATTACCCAGCTCAAAATGTCAATTGTGTTGAGGTTGAGAAACTCTTGGGTCAAGGAGACAGCAAGGTTCTTGGAGCCAGAGCGTCTGAAGCTCAAATCTTAGATTATCCACTAAAACGCCATCTCGGTCATCACCAAGTTTCCTGCAGTGTGGTCTGAGAGCTCACTGTTCTGGGATTCTCACTGGAGAGAGTGAATATGAACATGAGACACAGACATGATGACAGATGTCTGTCAGTGGCAGATTTGAACTGGCTCTCTACTACAGCAAGTGGGCATCCCAAGTAGTAGCCTAACCCCCTGCATCACAACACCCATTTTCTCCCTAAAACTAAAGCTTAATTTGTTACAAAAATTTTTCATTCATTAGAAGTTATTTTTCCCCTCATTTTTGTAAAGAATGAAAAATGGATTTAACTTTGTTATTACTTTGGAAATAGGCATCAATTTTTTCTGTATTTTCTGCATAATCCATTATGGAATCACTGTTTTAAAGTGTTGCTTCTTCCCTTAACCAAAATCTCCTGTGTATTTCTGAACTTTTGGTTTTCTTCCAGGGTTGTTACAGATCAGGTGCCATTGCTTTCTGCCTGATGGATTTTTTCCAACATTTTGTGTTTCATGGTGTGAGCTTGCTGCTGCTGCTTTTAACTTTTCTATACCTGAAACAAATTTTTATTTAACCTCCATTTTTGCTGGTTCTAGAATTCTAGATTGGTAGGCTCAAAAAAAACAAAAAAACAAAAAAACAAAAACAACCAAACCAAACCAAACCAAAACAAAACAAAAACCCTGCCAGTATTGCAAAGATGTTGCTCCACTTTCTTCTCACTTGTGCTGTTTTGCATTGGGAAATCTCCTGACAAGCTTACCTTCATTTCTTTCTACATGATTTGTCTTTTTTCCCTCTCATTATCATCAGCTTTGAACAACATGATTATTATGTGTCCTGGTATAATTTTCATTATGTTTCTTGTGTTTGGGGTCTATTAAGACTTATGATTTTCATCTATTATTTTTCACTTTGTGTTTCTGTGTGGGAGCAAACTGTTGAAATCTTTACTTAATGTATGCTAAACTGATCTTCTGTATATAAAGAGAATCGAAAATGAAGCCTCATGTGAATGGAAGGGGAGAGGGAGTGGGAAAGGGGAGGGTTGCGGGTGGGAGGGACGTTATGGGGGGGAAGCCATTGTAATCCATAAGCCATACTTTGGAAATTTATATTCATTAAATAAAAGTTAAAAAAAATAAAGTATATGAAACTTTCAAAAAAAAAAGACTTATGATTTTCATAAAACTTGAAAAAATTTCAGATTGTATTTCATTAAACTTTCCTGTGTTCTAACATCTTTTCAATTTCCTTTGAGAACTCTATTGTCTATGTTTTGTTTTGGAAAATTTCAATTGCTGTGCCTTCAAGTTTAGAAATGTTTCTTTCACCAATGTCCAACCTGCCTCTAATCTCATCTAAAGCAATTTTCATTTCAGATGTAATTTTCACTCCAGGAGTTATATTTTTATCCTTCAAAATAATCTTTGTTAATATCTGACTTTAAAAAATTGTGATATAATTAAAATAACTTTCAATGTCCTTGAATGCTAAATGTAAACTCTGTGTCTATTCTAGGACAATTTTCATTGATTGATTTTTCTCTTTATTATAGGCCATATTTCGCTCCTTCTTTGTATGCCAAGTTTAGAACAGAAGCCAGGCATAGTGAATTTTACTTTGGTGAGTGTTGGATATTTTTGCATTATAACTCTTTCTGGGAGTCTTTCCCTTCTCGGATTGCTCGCTCACACACAGGTGCTGTTCAGACCACAGATCTCTGGGTTCTTTCGCTGTGTAGCTCTCTCTCTGCCAGCACTGTGTGTTCTCTGGACGCTGTGGCCTCCCGCATTGTCAGTTCCGCCTCCATGATTTGGGTGACTCTTCCTGTGCTGCAGCCTGGACTCCCTCTCGGCAGTGAGCTGGGGGCAGTTCTAGGGCTCTACTTTGTGGCTCCCGTATCAGAGATCACTGCACTTTGTCACCCAGTGTCAAGGGTCTTGAGAACCATTCTTCACCTTGAACCTGATTTTGAACTTTCTCCTAGGACTTTCTATCAAGTGTCCTTACCACTGTCCATTTTCTGCCCGCCCTTTAGACTATGCAAACCATTTTTATACATTTTGAAGACTAACACTCTTCACAGGTAGACACAGTACAAGTCTAAGGTTTGGGGCTCCTTTGCCTGAGCAAGTGAACACTTGGCTGAAGCCCACTGGTCCGATCCTGTCTTTGGATTGTAGTTCTGAAGTCACGTCTTTCTCAGTGTTCCAGGTTTCTAATGGGTGCAGCCTGGCAGTGGAGCTTCTCAGAGCCCCTGCACCTCTAGTATCTTACTGCTCCCTCTGTGTCTTACCCTTGGGCGTGTCACTGTCACTGCTTTAGATCTGACTATGTCACACTGTCCTTGGGAGGGCCAAGGTCCACCCTTGCCCTGAATTGCCCTGGACTCTTCCTGTTCCTTCTGCCTCCAGAGGAAAAGCAGCAGAAGATGGTCCAAGTGCTTGGGTTCCTGCCACCCACATGGGAGATCCGGATGAAGCTCCCGGCTCCATAGCGGCCATCTGGGGAGTGAACAGGCGGATGGAAGGTCTCTCTCTCTCTCTCTCTCTCTCTCTCCTTCTCTGTAACTCTGACTTCCAAATAAATAAATAAATCTTAAAAAAAAAAAGAAATGATGCACCTATGGATAAGCCCTCGGCCTAAGGGTGCAGTTACTGAGGATGTGTGCTAGCAAGCCAGAGACGAAACCCAGCTTTCGTGGGCTCTTTTGGTGTTGTATTTGAGATACATAAGCCTGTGGTGTGGGTTGTTGGGTGTCTTATCTGTGATGAAGCTGTGTCAGATCCACTCTGTGCTTCTTTGTTTCTGTGCTTCTAGTGCCACCAATGCTTTTCTTGAGAAGCAAATTTTATTTTGAGAAAATTTCTACTTCAAATCCTTTTTGAAATATGAAAGCAGAATATATATATATACACACATACACATGTATAAAATACTGGTGTTATAATTCATTCTGATTAATGCATTAAACAAATTGCATAAGAGTTTTATTTTAGATTTACTTATTTGAAAGAGTGACACAATGGGGAGGAGCGAGAGAGAGAGAGAGAGAGAGAGAGAGAGATCATTTAACTGCTGATCTGCTGGTTTACTCCCCAAATGGTTCTAACAGCCAGGGCCTGGCTATGCCAAAGCCAAGAGCCAGGAACTCCATCTGATCTCTTACACGGTTGGCAGGGACTCAAGCACTTGGGTCATTTTCTGCCTTCCAAGGTGGATTAGCAGGAAGCTGGATTGGAAGCAGAGGTGCCAGGATTGGAACCTGCACTCTGATACATGATGTTGATGTCACAACAGAAGCTTAACCTGATGCACCACAATGGCAGCTCCCAGAGGAATATTTTTATTTACCTAGTTGGAGACTCTGCGTGCACTTTGACAAAGCAACAGGTCCATGTAAATCCACAGTTCAGGAAACGTTCCGCCTGGTGGTGTCCTCTTTCCCGCACATACCTTCTCTTTCTATACCTAGTAGAGATGCCTGAGAGATGCTGGATGGGCGCTGCAAGCTTCCACTTCCTCCCCAGCAACCCTTCCAGCACGTGCTACAACGCCTCTAATTTCTTTACACAATGGAGTGTTGGACAGTGTCTCTCACTGGAACACAAACCTGCTTGGAAAAGGGCGGCATTTACAGTCATGACCAATCTGTCCCCTGTAGGAAGCTGTAAGCTGTGCTGGGACAGAGGTGCTGAGAACAGTGTTGGCAGAGGAAGCCGTGTGCCCAGCATGCACATCTCCTTTTCACAGTGATGTCCAGAACTACCACTTACTGCAGATTAGAACCGAGGTCTCCTGATAGCTGAGCTAATCAGCATCTCTGCTGTCCATGGGGACTCAGGTGTTCCAATAAGCCCCTCCCACAAGTGTGACCCTACCCCCACCTCATCCCGAGCAGTTCCACATACATTCATCCTGTGTGGCAGGTTAACTGAGTAAGATTTTATGTCTGTGGTGTTAAAAAAAAAAAGGACGGGGGGAGAAGCTAAAACAATCAGGCTCAACATGATCAGCTGTTTTACTGAT